AATGGGAGAACAAGAAAAAAAGGGGAGGGGAGGAAACTTTTTGATAATAGCAATTGTGGTTTTATTGTGTCCAACATATCAATAAATGAACTTTGAGCCTGAGCCTGTAGATGCCCTTTCCTTGCCCAACCCTAGACACCTGCCCTGCTTACCTCTCCCATTCTGGGGAGAAGGGGCATGTACTGGAGGTCACCTGGCTAGTGTCTCACCTGTTAAGTGTGTACACCAGAAGCATGAAGAGGGCATTGGAAGGTTGGAGGTTTTAAGCTCACTTGATAGCACATCTGCGTGAGTAGCTATCCTTCAGAGCCCCAATGGAAGATCTGGGAGCTCCTAGGAAGCTGCTAGTGATTTGCCTGGTTCTGTTCAGACATCTGAGGTAAGAAGGGCTAGAGAAGCACCTTGTCCGGCTTTCACCATGGCAGCAAGCATATAAATATAGGTGATATAAATAGTTCAGCTACTAGCTGAAAACAACCAGAGGAAGGGATGAAGACCAGCCCTCAAGGGCAGGTGGATAGATTGGGCACTGATTGGCCACTCTGGCAACTGAGAGTGGAGAGTGAACTCCTGCCCCCTGGTGGTTGGAGGAAGAGACGTGTCCAGCCTCCAGGGCTGGCAGGCATAGCACCTTGAAGAGGGAGAAGCAAGGGGGCCAGTCACAGGTGGCTCAAGCCTCTGGCTTTAGAAAGTCATCCAACTGGAAAGGATGTAGATCGTCTAAGCAACTCCTGTCACTTACAGATGAGAAAACCAACACGTTGCTGGGTCATAGCTTGTTGCTTAGCCCAGTCATCTCTCCATTCAACTTCAACCAAAGAGGCCCATCTGCTCTCCAAACAGGAAGAGGAAGTGAAACAATTGGGAGCAGGGAAAGAATTCATACAGAAAATGATACTCCTAGGTGACTAGCCTCTTCCAGCCAAGGATAGGCCAGGAAGAAGGTTAGGTGAGGGATGGAGCTTCTCCTAATGCTAACACAAGTAAGCACATGTACGCCACGCATACAATACCTGGATACCCATTCTCAAAGTCCAGGATAGTGCCTTAAGAGTGAGAGAGAGTGAGTGAGTGAGTGTGTGTGTGTGTGTGTCTGTTACTGGCAGGAAGCTCAGGAAGTTGGGACCCTATAATAGGACCCAAATCCTAAATTGGGCACTTTCAGTATGATAGCTCTATTTCCTGTCCAGGGCAGATAGAAGGGATGTTGACCCACAACTCTAGGCAACAGTGGAGATAAATCTGACGTAAGTTGGGAGGTAAGGAGGCAGAGTATGGGAAGAGGGCACTAGTCAAAATTATCTGCATTTCTTAAGAGTTCAGAGAGAGAAGTGGCATGGGCCTGAGATAGCCCAGATGCCTAGGCTAGTGGGGTGCTCCCTCTGCTGACTGGGAAGGACAGATTGCCTACATACACGCCTTACGCTTAGCCTATCCTCTAGAGTTCCAAAAGCTGGAACAGGGTTGGGAGGATGAAGAAGGAATGGTAGCTCTTCAGCCATCCAAGGAGCCACTGCCCTTGTTCTTGCGGCTGAGGGGGAAGGCAGACTTGCTCTGGGGCTGGGTCATTTTGCTGGCCAGGTAGACAAAGGGCTCCAGGAGGGAGCGGCGGTCAGCCACTGATACCTCCCACAGCTTCACCTTCTCTGACTTGGCCCAATGCTGAGCCACATCTGGGTCTACACGCCGCTGTTCCTGTAGGTCACACTTGTTGCCCAGGACCACAATGGTGACCTGGAAAGAGACAAAGAACAGAAGCCTGTGGGTATACACTAGATCAGGTGCAGTTGTTGGGCTGTCAGTTTCTGGAGAAACAACTGGTAAGAAGCATTCCCAGGCCTGCAGCTTAGAGGAAGGTTTTGGAGAATTAAAGTAAGAGCATGAAATTACCAAGAAGATTAGCAGGAGCTTCATGATTTAGGTCAGGGATTCCTTAGACAGAAGTTTCTTTGGTTAAGTTGTCTCAACAATACCCCTGGAGGTAACACCCTTCAGTGACTTTCTAGCTCATAACCTACCTCTTGGCAAATGAGTGAAAAATGGAGCCACGACAGGCCTCCTAAAGCCAGTCCAGGGCCCATCCTCTCCCACCACTGGGGTTTCCAACAGAAGCCTGGGCCACACACCTCCTTCTTATCCTTAGATTTGTCAATCTCCTTCTTGAGTAGCTCCACACGCTGAAAGGACTCTCGGCTATCTGTGCTGTAGACCAGGACGTAGCCATCCGTGCAGGAGAAGCAGTGCCGGGGCAGCTCAGCGCCATCTCGAAGCCCCCGGGTGTCGTAGAAACGCACCTGCTCCCGCACTCCCCGATCTGTCTCAATAGAGCCTACGTAGATATCTTCCTGGGTTTCAATCATCTCAGAACCTGGGATAAAATGAGAAGATCTGATGGGAAGGGAGATGGGAAATGTGAGTGATGATGACATTCTGACAGGCTGACCAGACAGGGAGAGAAAGTAATGTGGGAACTAAGGAGAGTCTGGCAAGACTGGAATGATTTGGGGGAACAGACATGTGTATCATACTAAGCAAAGTGTGACATAGGAGTTTTTCCTTCCTATCTTGGATATTGGGATTCTTCCCTCCAGATTTATTCAATGTTGTAGAACTAGGGATTATGATGTTAGTTTTTACCCTTCAGAATGCAAAAACCATTGGAGCAGCTTTTAGCCTTTGCGTGTTTTAATCAAATCCTCTTATTTTTCAACATCTTCCACCATTACCTAAGCCCCATCAACACTCACCCACTACATGGTTCCCATACAGGAGCTGTTCTAGGATTGAAGTTTTACCCACGGATGCCTGACCACACACGACCACCTTGCAGCTCTTCCCCATGCTTAACCTTCCACCTAGAGGAACAGAAGCACCCTGGGTGAGGTGAGGAAAGAGAGGTTCAAAACAGGGCAGACCTCCCAATAACCAAAAACCCAAGTTTGGAACTGAATGCAAAGCTTCTGGGAATCAGGACAGCCCTTACTCAGAAGACCTAGGCTCAGACACCCTTTCTCCGAAGAGGCCCCAGAAGGAAACTTCCAAACACTGAATCCCCCAGGAGTTCCAAAGATTGCCCAAACAAACCTCTCCAGAGGAAGCTACTGACATAAACACCCTCCCACACAATAAGTCCTGCATTGAAGGGATACCCAAGAGAGACTGCCAGAGGGGTTTGTCTCCGCCAGAGATTTCCCCAGGTAGGAAGGCTTGCAAAGGGAAAAAGAGGCACAGATAGATCCCGTAAAGCGGCCGAAGGGCAGAGGGCATTATCCACGCAGGACGAACCCCGCCTCCCAGCTCCGCACCTCCTAGGGCTCCCGCAGAACCCCTACCCGGCCCCTCCCAGCTGGCAGAAAACAGGGCATCCACAGCACCGCCACAGACTTCCCTCTTCCGCGGGTGGAAGTAGACTTCGTGGGCTCCGCCCCCGTCCTCCAGCTTCCCCCGCAAGACGAGTTCCGGCGGAGGAGAGCTGGGCGCCGGCCGCACAGCGCCCCCAGCGGCCGGCGGGGGAATCCCAGAGAGGACTTGGCCTTGTAGTGCGGGGGCGTTCAAGGCTCTAGGCTCCTGAAGGTAGACTGCCTGTGCTCAAATGCTCTTTCTAAAGGCTGGCATTGTATAGTAACGCAGCGTTTACTCCATCATTTAATCGTCAGATGGTTTCTTTTTTCCTTTACGGTCAAGCGCTTTAACACTGAACCAGCCTTCATCAAATGTTTTCTGAGCACCTTCTAGGGGAGCTAGACCTCCAAACCAAAAATTACAGTACATTATGGTGAGTACTGTTACAAAGGTGCCATGGAGGGCCCCCAAAAAGGGATATTTAACTTGGGGGCAGCAACATCAAGCAGAAATTCCAGAAAGAGGTTATGTCTGTGTAAAGGTTTGAAAGGCTTAGGGGGAAAGGGTACCCTAGTGATACCGCCAGTTATAGGTGGAGTTCTGCTTCCTCACATATTGAACTTTGAACATTAGAGAAGCATGCTGAGGCAAGCATATAAAGCAGGGTTTATTTAAAAAGGGGTAACAGAAGGTCTGGGGCTATGGCTCAGTGGTAGTGCACTTGCCTGGCATGTGTGAGGCACTGGGTTCAATTCTCAGCACTACATATAAATAAATAAATAAAGGTCAATCAACAACTTTTTATACACACACACACATATGGTAACAGAGCTGGGCACGGTGCCACATGCCTGTAAACCCAGCAACTTGGGAGGCTGAGGTAGGAGGATCATGAGTTCAAAGCCAGCCTCAGCAATGCTGTGGCACAAAGCAACTCAATGAGACCATATCTGTAAATTTTAAAAGGAGGGGGGGCTGGGGATGTGGTTCAGTGGTCGGGTACCCCTGAGTTCAGTCCCCTGTACCAAAAAAAACCTAGGGTTAACAGACTTCTCCTAGGAGGGAGAAGGTATCCCAAGAAGGGAGGCATTCTGCCCTTTTTATATGTCCTAGACTTCCTTTGTTCTCCTGCTCTCTTCCTCTTATCTTTCTCCTTCCGGGTATGTGATGATTAAGCCCAGGAATGCTTGGTGGGGTAGCCAAAAGGTGGAAAACAGGTGGGCTGAAGGGGGAAGGGCAGGGTGGAGCAGCCAAGGACACATTAATTAACAATCTTATAGCTCCCTGGGATAAGTTACTATAGCAACAGGTTGGGGCAGGGGCAGATTCTTGATAAGGGTGGAGGAAGGGCTCTGAAGGAATTAACATTCAATCCCTCAGGGGACAGTCTCCAATTTCTCAGAATCACTCAAAATTGGCCTCCTTGATCTGACCTGACTCGATTTACCTATCTATACTGACTGCCTGTCTAATTCTGGCTTCACTAGGGGGGGCAAAAACATTGCAAGAGTCATGGCATTTTCTGGAACTACAAGCATTTGGGTTCAATATTGGTAGAAAGTAGCCATATAACCAAAAGTCTGTGTGGCAGGCTGTCAAAATGAGTAAAAGGTGTGACTTTTGCAGTCCAGGGGGAGAAATAAAGAATGTCCACGCACTTGTGCCCTAGTCAATGCTTTATTCACTCAAATCACTCAATACAATTTCACTCTATAGGTTCTTAATCGAGAAAACGACAACCCTTAATGTTAGACACTGCAACAACATAATCAATTCACAGCAAACAATTCTAGATTGATTCCCAGCAAACCATTCTAGATTAATTCTAAACACTGCAAACACTTAATTATGACAGGCTAATGACACACATTCCCTCTGCGTGTCAGATCAAAAGTCTCAAGCCTTAGGCTTTAAGTCCAGCAGATGCACACTCACTCAGATTGGAGTGATCGGGTCAGGAACCAAGGCAGGCTTCTCCTGAGGTGGAGCTGATGGCTGGTTGAGGAGAGGGTCATAGGGAGAAGTTGTGACTGTCACCAGGGTCAAGATGTGGCTATAGAGTTTAAGAGTGGTGAGGAAGATGCAGAGGATCAGCAACAATAAAAAGTGTTGAGATGCCAGTCCAGGTCCTCATCAGGCTCTCAGCGTGAGGGCATCAGTGTTGGCTGGCTGAATATCTGTTCATTTGCTCTGTTATTTATACCAAATTTGGAGCTTTTGTCCCCCTTTTAATCCTTACCAGCTGCCACCATTTCTCAGTGACATCATTTACTCTGGGGTTAAACCATCTGGTGTAGTGGATCCCACCCTGATCTTTTCGCCTTTCTCTCTTTTGGGGTGCTTTTCCCTGGGCAGGCATGAACAGCCTGCCAGAGGCTTCAATCTGAGTTTATCAGGGTGGGGAGAAGTGACTTGTTTGTGCCTGAGGGCCATACTGGTGGTCTCTCCATTAGGCATGCATGGTGAGACTGCAGTTTTCAAACTGGAGTTTTTAAAATGGAGTTGCTTAGGCTCAGACCTTAGGCCATCCTCACATAGGCCAGAGATCAAACTCACAGCAGTGGAAAACCATTGATAGGTTTCAAACCAGTGAAATTTGATCAGTGTTTCCCTTTTCAGGTCACTTGTAGAACAGCCAAGACCAGAGAGAGATGAGATCAGGGAACAATTAGGGGACTACTGTAGTCTTCTCTGAGTGAAAAAAAGAAATGACAAGAGTCTGGATTGGAATGGGAAGAGGATATATAGATTTGGAAGATATTTGATAGGAGAATCAACAAGGCTTGGTAGTAAACTTGAAATCAAGAATGAGAAAAAAATGAGGAATTCATGATTTCCTCCATGTTTCCCACTTGGTGGCCAAGTAGTTGATTCCATTCAACAATATAGGGAATTCAGGAAAGAGAATCGAATACAACATTTGTTCTTTTTTGAGGGGTGGGGAGAGAATAAGTTCAATAAACATGTTAAGCCTTGGGAATTTGTGAAACATCCCAGACATATCTGGTAGGTAGTTGGATATACAGGTCTGGAACTCTGGGGAGAAAAAAAAAAGCCTATGTTGGAGATAGCATGAGTTGAGAATCAGATGAAATTAAAGCTGAGGGAGTAAATGTGTTGGCTCAGATATAGAGAACCGAAGTGGGAAATGGTCAAATACAGGCTAGCTCTTAGACTTTAAGATTGTGAGCCACTAGCCATCAGGGCAAATGCTCTGTGAGTCTTGTGGCCTCCAAAGAGCACAGAGGAGGTATATAGGAAAGGGCTAAGCTACTGAATCATAGCTGGACAAATGACCTCTCCCATCCAAGCAACTGAGCTTCACCAGTCCTTTTCTACCCGGTGGCCCTGTGGTTTTGGCTCCCTCAGCACTATGACAGGCAGAGACGTTGGCACTGTTTTCCTTAAGTAAGGAGTTATTTTTTTTTTAATTTTTATTTTATAATTCTGGGTATCAAATCCGGGGCCTCATGTTTGGTAGGCAAGTGCTCTACCAGTTACTTCCCCAGCCCTAGATCTTAAAATTCCCATGTCCCCTTACTTTAATTCTCCCTTGCTTTAAATTATAACCTCAAACTCTCCTGATTTAACTGCAGAACGACCCAATTTAATTCAACTCCACAAATATTATTGGTTTAGGTAAGGAAAATACTATAAAGATAATTAAGCTGTGACATGCCCTCTGTGAATTCCCAGTCCACTCTGCATTCAGCCAGACAAGCGTGTTGAACAGAGTTTATGAGAGGTGGGAGTACTGGGGACACTGAGGAGCGGGGCCCTCACCCCATGAGTTGCCTTATAAACTCCGGGGCAGGGTCTGGGGCGCCATGTCATGTCAGCCTCCTTAGGCTTAATGCTGAGATGGCACTCCCAAGCGGTTGACATGAAAGCAGCCTCATAAAACGGTCAGCGTCATTAGGGTGATGAACCAGTTGGTGCTTGGAGATCCAGGGGGGATGAAAGGCGCGGGGTGAAGACGCCCTGCGTTCCCCGAGCTTGGTTGGGCAGGGCTTCCAGGGACCCAAGAAAGCTGGGGGAACTGGGCTCAAAGTATCTCTTCTTGTCTTCCCCGGAAAGAAGCTGTGGACACACTACAAGGTCGGGAAGGTAGTCCTGGGGGCTCTATCCCTACAATCTTGGGTGACCCAGGCCCCACTCAACTCATACTCCCCTGAGCCTTTACAGGAGACTCAGAAGGATTGCAAGTTGCTATGGCAACCAGACATTCGGAATACTGAGGAAAGCCTAGGCCTAGAGAGGCAACATCCTGCTTTCCTCCTTCCCTTACCACGGATAAAGTGGCGCCCCCAACGCACAGGAGCAGTCCCTGGGCCCCCGCCCCGGCGCGGAGACCAACGTGGACCTCCAGGGATGGGAGGCCGCTCTGGCCTCAAGCGGTGCCTCTCGTTGGTAGACGGGCCCGACGGAGCCCCTCTGGGCGCGGCGCCGCTGAGCTGCTCGATGCTCCGGCCGGAAGTGCTCTTCACCGCCTGCCTCCCACCCGGCTCTCTGGTCCCGGCGGTAAGATGGCGGCTGCCGCGGAGTGCGATGTGGTAATGGCGGCGACCGAATCAGAGCTGCTCGACGACGAAGAAGCAAAAAGGTAATCGGATAGCAGGGTCAAGGAGGAGGCGAGCTGCAGCCCTCTGGCTCAGGGAAACCTGTCCCTGCCGTGATGCAGCCTGCAGATGTTGAGGCTATGCCCCGCCTTCTGCACCCCCCCCAATCTGAAATGAAGTCGGAATGGACCCCCTGAAGGGGCGCTCTCGGGGGTCAGCCTTCCCCTCCTGCTTCCGCCTGGCGGGGGAGCTAAGTCACGGCCAAGTTCTCCAGGGGAGAGGAAGGTCGTCCTTATGGTGGAGGCTGGGTCTCTGAGGGGGAGTCTCAGAGGTCTGTTGTCGGGTGGGGGAGGCGGCGCGGCGTAGATGACGACTTCCTTACATCCCCCGACCCCCGCCTTCTCTTGTTAACTTCCGTGCATTGTTGTCAACACTGTGTGTCTCTAAAGCCCTCGCTCTCCTTCTCACCCCCTCCGCCATGATTACACCCCAGCGATCAGCAGCTGGGTAAGAGGTGATTGTGTGTCTCCAGTATTGACCTGGTCGCTCCCTGGTTAACCCCAGAAATTAGAGAGGTTAGAGAAAGCAGGCAAAGTGAAGGACGCGTCTCATGCTCTACACGTCAGACTCCTCTTTGCCCTTCCTTCCTGTGTGAGATCCTTATTCCTCTCTGGGCCGTTCTTAAACAGCAAGGAGGAGGGCAGCTGCTGGAGCGCAGTTGGCTGTGCTGGGCAGCCGCAGAGGCTCGAGATTGCCAGTCCGAACTAGCCAAGGGAGTTGCTGAGTGAGTGGTTTTCGAGAACACTCTGGATTCTGGCACCAGCTAAAGCAGGTTATTGGAAGTGGGTTTGGGAACAGAGTTTGAGTAGGTTCTAATACTAAAGTCGAATTGATGAAAAGATTCTGGAAGTTTTAGTCCTTTTCTTTTTTCTTTTTATTTTTTGGTGGTGCTGGTGATTGAACCCAGGGTCTCATGCATGCCAGGGAAGTGCTCTAGCACTGAACCACTTCCCTAGCCCCCGGAGTCTTTTCCTTACCAGCTGCTGGTTAATTTGATCCTGTTGTTTAGGATGGACTACAGTACCCTCAGTCTCCTCACATATTTTATATCCTGATACCAAGCCCCCTGTTATGTTTTCAGTCTGGATAATTTGAGGTGGTGATGTTGGTGGTGCAGGAGATCTGAAATCGGGATTCTGAGATTTTTTTTTCTTTTTACTATCCCAAGTTAGGAACATAAGAGATACTCATTGAAGCACAGTGAAAATGTCATTAAGCATCAGCCAGTGACTTTAAGTTCCTGATCTGTTAAAAGCAAAGAGGTCTAACAAAGTATAGTAGATCCTTGAGAGATCTGAGAAAGCAGGATACCAAAGTTTAATCGTAGTTTTGAGCTTTCACATTGTTCCAGTATATACTTAGGCATCAGCAGCTCATATGTATCTTTGAGGAGTTGCAAAATGGGAAACAAAACTATTCCCAACACAGACAGAACTTTAATTAATTGTGAAGATGTAATGTACTTGTATTTGGAAAGAGTTGCTGGTTCTGAGTGCTATAAATAAGGACTTTAGCCAAATATCACTTAAGAAACTGTAAATCTTTGATGTAAGGAGTATCCTCAATTAAAGCTTCACTTCAGGGCCTTGTATCTAAAGCAAATCTTTTTCCTTTTAAAAAAATTACAGCCTTGGAGAATATTCTGTTATAAAATTAATGTACATGAACTTGAAGATGTGTTAAGAAACATAAAACAGGTAATTCTGTAATGTTACCACATCATGCAAAACATAAGACATTTGGTAGCGATACATTGAAATAACAGAGGTTGTTGACTTATTTAACTGCCTTATTTCATGGAATTTAAAATATCATTGATTGTAAAATGCACAATTATTTTATCTACCACTAAGAGAATATAACTGTAAAGTAAGTAATGAGAAAAATGCAGTATCACTTCTGTGCACAAATCAAAAAGAAAATAAGTGAAATTTTATTAATATTTTTAACCAAAAACATGTTTATTTTTTAGTTGCCAAAACCCAAACTCTTCTTTTTAAAAAAATAATCATGATTAACTTAGAAAATTATATATATATATATATATATATATATATATATATATATATATATATATGAAATCTTCAAAGCATTTTCCTTTAATGGGAAACTTAGTTTTATGTAATCTAAACATTAAAAGGTTAAGGAGACCTATTTTGTTGCCATTAAGAAACAAAATGGAATCTGGCATAAGTCAAGAAAACCCAGTCATGCTTCAGGTCCTTCTCCAGGAACCAGCATTGTTGTGTTATTTCCATTTAGCAAAATCTGATTTACTTTTCCTTCTTCTGCTGTGATCTCAAACGCAGTGATATCTTCCAGCACCAGTTTCTGCTAAGAAAGCTCAGACATTCTTAGAAGGGTAAACATTAAGACCTGTTAGTATTAAAAAAAAAAAAAAAAGCCTTGTTTATGTATGATTTAAGCATTCTAAAATTAGAGTAAAGATTTAGACTTTTTTGGGGAGGTGGTTTTACATTTTCCATATTCCTGGAATCCTGTGTAGCCATACTAGAGGACAAGGAGAGGGACATCCCTTACAAATGCCTTTTTACTGTCTGGCTTGGCTAGAGTTACTTGGCCATGTTCTTGTCTCTCTTGTTACAGTCCTACTGGTTCACTTAGGGACATAACAGTTGATGGGTCCCATGGTTGTTTTTGTGAGGACCAGCAAGGGGTACTTTCTTCCTTACATTTTGGCTCCAGTGCATCTTTCTCCTGCTGCTAAATTGTCATATTCCCACAGGGGGCAAGATGAGAGGAGATTTTAAGATACTGTTCCTCATGATTCCAGCATTTTAAGTGACTACATATTTATTTCCTTAGCTTTAGTGTCTCAACAGAGAAAAGGATTTCAGTGTTTTTTGTTGTTGTTTGGTTGGTTTTTCTTTCTTTCTTTTTTTTTTTTTTTTGCTTGTCACTCTGATAAAGTTCACTTTCCTCCATGGCAGTCAAGAGGTTAAAGTAAAAAACATAGTAGTTAGCACTACTACCAAAGATCGGGGTTCTTTATATATATATACATATATATATATATATATATATATATATATATATATATATATATATATATTAGGAGAAGAAAAGTTTATTTGAGGGCTCACAGTTTTAGAGGTCTCAATCCATAGAGAGCAAGCTTCATTCCTCATGGCTTAAGGTAAGGCAGGGCATCATGGTGGATGAGTATGGAACCAGCTCACATGATGAGCAGGAAGCAGAATGGGGGGTGGTTGTATGCATCAATATTGTTTCTCTTTGCCCACCAGAACATAGTTTTTTAGGGTGAAATTGAAAAGGTTTTACATTTGAACTAATGTAAAGCCTTAGAATTTCCTGGGAAGTTGCTGAACCATTTTATCTAATACCTGCCTTAAGTTAAGGCTCTCCAGTCAACTCCTAGGCTTGGAAGCAGCTTGATCTCTGTGGTTCGTTGAAGGATTTCAAACTGTTCATCCAAGAGAAAACACTTCTGTGTTTGTCTTGATGTGACTGGACAGTGAATTCTAAACAAGGGAGCTGTAGACTTAAGCTCCAGGACCTGTTTCCTTCAGATGATATTCTTAACTTCTCTGTTTTCCTGATGGACTCAGGCAAGAGCAACTCTTACTAGGTTCTTTCTTCATATTGAGGTATTGTAAACCCTTTGTGGATTAGGAATGTACCTTTTATTTCTTTATTCATACTGTTGTTGGTGGGAAGAACTGAACTCTGAATCTATATCTCACGTATTGCTGCTGTTGCTATGTTTTACTGCAATTTCTTAGAGCATTTTGGAGTTTGTGGCCTTTGTAACTGGAGAGCTTCTGGGAATGCATCTCCCTTTTCTTTCTTACCCTGTTTGACATTCTCAGGAATTTGTTTCCCTAACCTTCTCTTGAAGTTCCAGGGCAGGCAGCAATTTAAACTGGAACAATTTAAGCTGATACGTTAAGGAATTTTCTCATTCTGACATTTCAGTAAGCTCATAAGCAGAATAGGATTTATCTTCGACCTGGAACCTAAACCAGTGAGAAACACTTCATTTTCATTTTGGTACACTAAGTGTGGATCGGAGATGAAGAGATGGGAGAAATGAGTCATGGTTAAAGAAGGGATAAACCTAGGAATACAGAATCCTGGACACAGCAAATTAATTGAACCCTGATACTACCAAGTGGCAAAATTATTAAATAATCATAACTGGAGCAACGGTACACTACATAAGGTCTCTTTTTCTTATTGCTGAAGTTCATGTTCTCATATTAACCAATGTCAAGAAAAGTGAGCAATTAACAAGAAAATGTTGGGTCAAGTGAATGGCAGTTGCTGTAGTGCCAAGTATATTCCCAACTGAACATAATTCTGATTGGCTTAAAGCCCAGCCTTACTGTACATTCCAGCCAATTGGGGATTAGTTTAGTCATTGAAGCTAGTGTTTTCAAAGTTTTTTAAAAGCTGAGTAATGGGCACTTGACTTTACTTTCTTGCTCTAGGACTTTAGAAGACTGGAGGACAATGGTCAGCGACTATCTAGGTGCCTTTTGGCCTGATGCAAAGTCCCTCTGAGAGTCCACTAATGTTTGCTCCCCTTTCTCCAGTGCTGTGATGTGGAAGTTACTTAGAGGTCGTTCCAGGTATTTTTTTAAATTGTGTAAATTTCATTAGTAAGAGCAGGATTCAAAGTGCGGTTATTCCAGTAGGCCATTCGTTTTTGTTAGAGTGACAATTTTTTTCTTTCCTCAACGGATAAAAATGGCAGTTCCTATGTTTTATTCCATAATTGGCAGGAGGATGAATGGTTGAGGCTTTTGAGAATGGTAAAGTGAGGAGGAATATATGACTTTCCTGGTCCTACTCTGAGACCTGATATTCTGTTGGCAGGTGACTTTCAGTTTATTGGGGTGGGTGACAGATTATCATATAAGCAGTTAGTCTTCTGCTCGGATTCTAGTATTACTTTTATGGGGAAAGTGAAGGGGCGAGCAGGACTCTCTGTTTTGGTGTTTTGAGTGTTCCTTCTTGGTCAGTTTGCTCTTTTAATCACCTGTTGAACTAAGGACCAAAGAGAACTTTGAGAAGTAGAATACCAGTGAATAGTCCAGACTTTCCTTCTGGTTGCTATCTCTATACCCCCTTCCCTCCAAAAAAATCAGGAAACAGACTGTTTCATTTCTTGTATGTGTTTTTTTGTTTAGTTTGTTTGTTTTTAACTTTTTTACTTCAAAATAAAAAGAGTGGGGAATGAAGCTCAGCGTTAGAGCATCCCTGGGTTCAATCTCTAGTACTGAGGGGAAAAAAAAACCTAGTGTAAGTTTAAAACTCACAAATGAGGTACCAATTTCTGCGTGAATATCCTTCTGCCTGCAGTGATGGAATTTCTGACAGGATTGGTTTGGATGGTTGCTTCTTTGAATAAGACATAGCTCCCTTAGGCTACCTGGTGTCCTTCCCTGCTTGAGCAGTAGAGAGTGCTCCTGCCTTACATAGACTAATCTGTGACTCTTCTTCAAGAGTCTAGGGCCCTTTCTGGCTTTGTTCCTTCCTGTTGAGGCTTCTCCCTGAATGTCCGGAGAACAATTTAAACTGATAGGTTAAGGAATTTTTTTCATATTTGTCTTCTGCTTTCTCTCTTTTGTGCTTTAAAGTGAAAACAAAAGCTGTCCCAAAGGAAATTGGGTAAAGAAAGTTGGATAGCAACTGATTTTACTAACAGGTAGAAGCTGTATAGAGCCCAACCTCTGTTTTCTCTGAACAGTTAAGAAAAATCCAACATATAGTACTCTGCAAGTTTTCCAATATTTGTGAAATTATAAAATTACATAGCTTCCACTTATATGAAATTTCACATTTAGGTTAGAATGTTTTAAAAAAGAGAAAGAAAGAAGTGGAATAGCTTGCTTTTGGTAAGATAGAATAAAAGTTAGGCTCCTGGGCTCCTTGTACTTACTTTATTATCTCATGAAGGTCAGAGAGAGTACAACGTGAAACAGGCCCTGTGACATGCCTTTGGGGACAAGAGGTCCCCTGTGGGAAGAAGGAAAGAATTTCTACTCTTGAGACTGGCTAAGATCCCATAAATTCTGAAAGGCGGAGGGCATTTCTAGATCAATGGGCATCTAGTGATTTTGACTGAATAAAAGTAATGGGACGCAACAGTTATAGAGTAGGTTGACATTTTGGAAATAATAAATACAATAGGAATGTCTAAAGAATATTTGACTCATTGACAGTATTATTGTTAATAGCCTGAAGGGAAAAAAAGGAAAGATATTTTTTTCTAAGGTTCTTCCTATCAGTAAAATATTTTCCAAAATCAGAAGCCCCTGAACACTCCTCTACTCTAAACAAAAGAAAACTTTTTTAATTTTAACAAAAATGGATTTCTCTTTCACTCCAGGAATACTAGAATATGTGAGAAAAATGAAAAAACTGAAACAAACCAAATTCTAACTTATTCAAGCTGCTGTAACGTTTTGATTTAAATCATTATTAATGCTATTGAAATAGCTTAACTTTATTTAAAAATATTGTTCTAGCCAAATAATGTTGTGTGTATATATATGTGTGTTGTGTATGTATATGTACACACACGTACGTACACACACACACACACACACACACATATATATATATATATATATATATATATATATATATAGGTGTACAAAAATGTAATTAAGTTGGGCACAGTGGTGCTTGCCTGCAGTTCCAGGACTTGGGAGGCCAAAGCAGGAGGATCAGAAGTCAGAAGTTCAAGGCCAGCCTGGACAATGCAGGGAGACCCTATCTCAAGAAGAAGAAAGAAAAAAGAAAAAAAAAATTAGCATTTCCTAGCTTACAAATGTTGCAGACTAATGAAATCATGCTAGTCTTTATTTTTAGTGCAATAGAATGGAATTAATCTTTTTTCTCCCTTCTACCCTCTCCTTCTGGAATAAATCTTTTTTTTCTTTTAATACCTTTTTTTTTAAAGATATTGTTTATTCATTTTTTAAACCTCTATTTCACTTATTTATTTATTTATTTATTTTAATATTTATTTTTTAGTTTTCGGTGGACACAACATCTTTATTTTTTATTTTTATGTGGTGCTGAGGATCAAACCCAGCGCCCTGCACATGCCAGGTGAGAGCATGCTACCGCTGGAGTCACATCCTCAGCCCTCAGGCATGAGGCAAGCACTCTACCTCTGAGCCACAACCCCCAGCCCCTCTTTTAAATACCTTTATTTAGTGTTAGTTTTTTTTTTTTTTTAATGTGGTGCTGGGGATTGAACCCAGTGCCTCATGCATGCTAGGTAAACGCTCTACCACTGAGCCACAACCCCAGCCCATGGAATAAATCTTAAAAATGATACTGTACAACTGATGTAGAGATTCATCCCTTTTTAAATAGTATATAGATATGTGATGTGTCAAGTAAATCCAGAGAGAACCCAGCCATGTTAATGACATTTTAAAACTACCTCCCAGTGAATCTGGTATTAGCAGAGGTTGATTAATTTTTTTGAATACCTCTTTAATTGCTAAAAAGTTAGATCAATTGGCCTAAGGCAGAGATCTTGCATGAGTGTTCAACATGGAAGTACTTTGAGAGAGAAATAGCAATTTTTATAGGACTTCTAATTTGGGGCGTTGCAGTGTCTATGATGGTATTTTAATGTGTTTTTAATTTAGCTGAGCTGTAAATGTGCAAAGTTGGCTAGTGATCATAAGCCCAAGTTGTCTGATTTGATCACATGATCCTGAGCCCTGCTAAGACCTGTGTGATACCAAATGATTCCCTTGGCAGTATTGTCAAAGTAATTAGAGTCAGCAGTGAATGAATGCTAAATCAGGAGAGAATGCTTATATGATGTACAGACTTTAATAAACATGTAATATAGAAGAGTGGATTTTCAAAGCTGCAGTTTTCTGAGTTGTGAGGTTGTTTCTGAAAAATAAAGATATACATTTTAAAATAGCAAAGCAAGCTGGTCACAGTGGCACATGCCTGTCATCTGAGTGACTTGAGGAGGCTGAGGCAGGAGGAGCACAAGTTTGAGGTCAGACTCAGCAACTTAGTGAGAACTTAAGCAACTTAGCAAGACCTGTCTCAAAAAATAAGAATGGCTGCGAATGTAGCTCAGTGGTAAAGTGCCCCCTGGGTTTAATCCCCAGTACAAAAAATAAAATAGCAAGGCAGACCAAGCGTGGAATATATTCTTACCTATATCTGTCAGAGGGAAGGCCAGGCTCTTCAGAGTTGATCTTGTTGCAGGCAACCCTCCCATCATGCATGCACACAAGACAGATTTTGGGAGAGGAAGAGTACTGGGGATTGAACCCAGGGGCATTTAACCACTGAGTCATATCCTCAGCACCCCCACCTTTTTTTTGAGACAGGGTCTTGCTAAGTTGCTGAGACTGGTTTCCAACTTGTGATTCTTCTGCTTTAGCCTCCCGAGCTGCTGGGATTGCAGGTGTGCATCACCATGCCTGGCAAGGACAGATTATTTTGAAAACCTTTCAGTAGTTGTTTTCACAGAATTTGTTGCAGGTAATTAAAGTAGTAGAGATATAATCATTCCCAGCATTTTTGGTGCATCAGAGCTGTAGTAGTTACTCTGCTTAGAGTAGACTCAAGGATGGGTCGGGGACTGAATAAATCAGTTTTAATCTAAAAATCTTGATACTAACAGGATTTCTGGGAAAAATGGGTCTCCAAAGAAATGATAAATGTCTGTGGTGGTGGATATGCTAATCACCCTTATTTGATCATTACACACCATGTACGCGTATTGAAAATGCCACATAAATAAATACGTACTTTGCTTCCCCCTCTCCTTACCCCACAGTGCTAGGGATCAAACCTGGGGCCTCGTGCATGCTAGGCAAGCATTGAAGTATACTCCAGCCCCTGTACAATTATTATGTGTTAATTACAAATTTAAAAATATATTTAAAAAACAGAACAGGGGCTGGGGATATAGTTCAGTAGCAGAGTACTTGCCTAGGCTGCACAAGGCCCTCTGTTAATCACCAGTGCTGCAAAAATAATTAAAAAAAACAAACAGAAAAAAAACCCAAAAAAAACCAACCAGTAATCCAGGAGTTAGGAAACCTATGCAGCTACCTTAGGTATCTCACTAGTGCTGCCTGCCTCTGTTGGAGGAGGACAGGTAAAATTATTGCCATAACTACCTCAAAAGGCCTTTTGAAAGTCTCCATTGGAAACACTTGAAATTTAAAAAGCACAACAGATAATATTGTAGTTGTTAATAGCACCATCAGGACAGTTATGGCCAAGTCTGTATTTTGCTGTGGTATTATATTTTGAGGGTTAGTCTGACTTTTTGTAGCCGCGGATAATAATAATATATAGCTGAATTTAGTCCTTTGAAAAATCTTTTTAGTTAGTACAGGTGAACTCAGTTAACCCTAATCTTTCCTTTCTCAGTACTAACATGTTTCAGTAGGAACATGTTATAACCTCACTTTGTTATCAAATGAACTGACCCTGGCAATAAGTGGAGTGAGATGCCACCGCCAGGTTGCCCTCACTTCCATTGTTAACTAGCTCTTTTCCTTCTTTTCCAGTCCCACGCCTTTGACACCTCAGCCTTCAGTCACTTTGCTGTAAGGGCAGCTTGAACAAGCTTCAGCCCTTTCTCAGACTCCCAGGGCAGGACTTGAATGGATTTGACCCTGGAATTGTTCCTGATGCAGCCTGGTTCAGTTCTTGCTGCTGCCATGCTGGATTCCAAAGATCCACTCTTTCCTCGGCTGGTCTCTCAGGGTTAGGCCCCTTGGTTAAAGCCTGTTGTGTATTTGGTGGGGAGGTTCAAAATGAAGGAGGGACTCTACTTTGGGCATTGGACCTGGAGGCAAAAAATAAGCGTTCAGTCTAAAAGTACTAAGTGCCCATTGTTTGGGCAGCTGTTAATCAGCCATGTTTCTATGAAAATAAGTCCTTTTCATGAGGCAGTTGTGTGGGAATAGCTAATTCTGGCCTGCTGCTGTGCAATGTGAGGTTAAAAACATGGTAACTTGTCACAACACAATTCTTCTTGTTCTTTTTGCTGTGGGCTGACTCTACATTACTTGCTTTGTTTGCTCTAGAATGGAATCTACTCACCATTTACTAAAATGAAATGCATTTCTTGGGGGAGGCAAAATCCAGTTCACTAGGTCTTGCATCTTAAAGAGAAAGGAACACTTCTCCCTCTATGACCAATGTTAGGAATGTCAGCTTACTTAAATCCAAATTTAAGTTCTGGGTTTGGATTTTATATGTAGGAGCTATTTTGTGTCTTAATTTAAAGAAATTTGTTTTTATTGTTCATGCTTTATTTTGAGTAGTACAGATTAATTTTTAAAGTATTTATCAATAAGACGAAGTAAACTTTAGAAAGCTTAACATAGTACAAAGTGCACAAACTTTAGAATGTGACAAATGAGGGTCACATCCTGACCTTGGGCAAATTATTTAGCCTCCAAACCTTAATTTCTTCTGAAAAACGAAACTCACCTGACTAGTTGTTTATAATTTCCATGTAAATCATTATTTGCATTTTTACTGGAAGCCAGTACTGCACTTGCCTCCACGAGAGAACTTTTCAGAAAAAAATTTCCACAAGCTCTAAATCTTACTTAATTTGTGACTTAACAAGCTTTATACTGCTGATACAATGTCTGCTTCCATGCCTAGGTGCCTTTGGGTTTTCCTCAAGGATTTTTATGTTCTTAGCCACTATCTAGATCTTCTTAGATACACCTTAGGTCAGTGTCTGCTTTGGAATATACTATTCCATTTCTTCACAGTGATTTCACTCAACTTCTGAAATCCAGTTTGGGGAGGCCTTTCAAATCTCTTGACTGCTTGTAGTTTTTATAATACTTTTCTAAGTTAGATTTATAGGAACTTGTACAGCATGTAGAAAGATTTCGGGTGTTGCTTTAAGTCTTTCAATTGTAGGGAGTGTCCTTCAGGACTTTTAATAACCCATGGCTTTTTTAATAGCATTGTGACAATTGATATAATCAGATTACTCAACAAATTTATATCGCATTTCAAATCTATCAGCATTTGTAAGTTACACCCTTTTTCTTTCTTTTTCTCCTTCTAGCAGCCTTTTTGTGTTAGTAGGACTTACCAGGACAGTGATGGAGAAGAATGGAAAGGGAGATTTGCCTGAATAAAAAGAGTGTGGCTTTGCCAATTTGTAATTTAAAATACATAAGCAAATAAATCACAAATCTTTCCAATACCTGTGTCCATAGAATCAAGCTGTAATCTCTATATAATCATTACTGTTAAAAACATTGGTTATTGTCGCCACTCCACGCAACCCTGAACTTTAGTCCTTTTTTGCATGTAAAGACGATGGGAAGATTCATCCTTATAACAAAATGTTCAGATATTTAATTATGCTGCATTAGTCATTTCAGCAAAGAATTATCTTTGTCACTGAAGTTGGGCAGTAGAATAATTTTGAGTATCTTTGATAGAGGTTACTAGTTTGTTGCTCTTTTAAAGTACTTGTTTGTCATGTCTGATTTGTACCTAGTTATTGGATGGATGACAAAAGGGAGGAGTAAATACCCACATAGATGTACATGATGGGCAAAGGGAACATCAATAGATGAGTACTCCTTATAGCCTGGTACTGGCAACCTATACCTTACATGTCCCTGTCATCCAAGTTCTAAGTCTCTTGCTGTCATTCAACTCTGTCCCATCTTAAACACCAGTATGCTATGCTTTTAACTCTTTTGCTTTTCCTCTGCTCGTCCTTCCAGGGACAAATGCATGAGCCACTTTTCAGGAGACTAAATCATTAAAACTCTTAAGGGATGTGGCCCATTTCACAGTCAGTTGACCATTGAAATTACCCATAATTGTTTTTTCTGGAATTTTGCAAAAGAGCAAGCTGTTGTGATAACCCTGGAAAAGAAATGAATCTAAAAATTCAGTTGTTGACTGGGGGTGTAGCTCAGTAGAAGAGTGTGCAAGAACCTGAGTTTGAGTCCCAGCACCACATTTTTGTAAAACATTTCAGTTGCTGGGAGGGAATGTCTAAATCTGCCTGCCCCATGAGAGAATGATAATAGGCTGGAACAGTGAAAAGTTAAGGCAGGCAACTTGAAAGGAGTTTTCTTAATTTAGTTTGAATGTCTCTACATGACAGAAAATAGCATTTGAAGAACTTAGATTCTTTTATTAGCACCTTCTTCTTTTGGTCCATCATCCTATTGAACAAATTTATAAACTTCCAACTGAATGTGCCAGGGGCTGTAGACCAAAGATTGCTCCTATGAGACAAACAGATCATTCCTGAGGTGTAATAATGTAATTGTCTCTCCTTTTCAGGGAAGCAGAATGCTTCAAGGAACAAGGAAATGCATACTATGCCAAGAAAGATTACAATGAAGCTTATAACTATTATACAAAAGCCATAGGTAAGAAGGATCTGGTAGCTATTCTCGAAAGTATTAACTTGCCAAATACTCTTCTCAGTAGCTTCTCCTTATGAAGTAACTGTTTGCTTAGTGGGCTGATATCTGTTACTGTGTGAACTCCTTCAGGCTTAATGATCTCCTGATGGATAACATTTTTAAACTGAAGGTGAGTAGTTCTTTCTTTGGCAAATTAAAGTTTGCTAAATCCTGAAATTCTGAATGCTATAGCAAAAAGATAGCCACCCAAATGCAACAAATCATTGCCCATTCACTTACTATCTGAAAAAATGGCCTTTGTGGATTATCTTATCTCCATACTTAATTTTGCCAGCATATTTTTTTAAAATTTTTATTAGTTATTGATGAACCTTTATTTGTTTATATGTGGTGCTGAGAATTGAACCCAGTGCCTCATACATGCTAGGCAAGCACTCTATCACTGAACCACACCCCAGCCCCAATTTGCCTGCATATTTTAATCCCATGTTGGCATTTTCTTTCTTTCTTTCTTTGTTTTTTTTAATATTTATTTTTTAGTTGTAGATGGACACAACACCTTCACTTCATTCATTTATTTTTATGTGATGCTGAGGATCAAACCCAGGGCCTCGCATGTGCTAGGCGAGCACTCCACTGCTGAGCCACAACCCCAGCCCCCATGTTGGCATTTTCCTCATCTTACTTGCTCATGTGCTCCCCATCTCAATTCAGAAAAATCAAATTCATTTTAATACCTCATTGATATTGTTTGCTAGGCGATGAGCTCCGCCAGTGCACTTTAAGACCATAATTTAGCTGGCATGGGTGGTGTATACTTGGAACCCCCAGCAACTCTGGATGCTGATTCAGGAGGATCATGGGTTCAAGGCCAGCCTCAGCAACTTAGTAAGACTCCATCTCAAAAAAAAAAAACAAAAGGACCGGGAATGTGGTTCAGTAGTAGAGTGCCCTGGGTTCAGTCCCCAGTACTGCAAAAAAAAGAAAAATCATAACTTGTTTTCTTCTTCTTAGTCTTTTTTTTTTTTTTTTTGGTTGGATTGGTTTGGTTTCTCTTTTGTTGTTACCAGGGATGGAACCTAGGGGCGCTTAACCACTGAGCCACATCCCCAGCCCTTTTTTTATATTTTATTTAGAGACAGGGTTTCGCTGTTAGGGCCTCTCTAAGTTGATGAGGCTGGCTTTGAACTCAGATCCTCCTGTCTCAGCCTCCCTAGCTGCTGGGATTACAGGTGTACAGCATTGCGCCTGGCCTTTGATTTGGTTTTGATGCTGGGGATTAAACCTAGGGCCTCTCTGATGCTAAGCATGTGTTCTATTCTGACCTATCTATACTGCCGGTCTCTAAAGTTGTATCTTGTTTTCTTTTAAAATTGGTTGCTGCTGTCCATTTGCACAGATAGTTAAAAATTTAGCTGTGGCCTTTTAGAGTTTGTCAACATTCTGTCTGAGTGTGTGTATGCGTGAGCGTGCGAGCGTGTGCTGGAGATAGAACCCAGAGTCTCATTCACAAATGCTGGGCTAACACTGTGCTACTGAGCATTCTTATAGTTTGATTCTTGACATAGTTCTGAGAGAGATGCCCCTAAGTTTTCAAATCAGTGACCTGTATTGAACTTTTTGTGTTCTTTTACCTTTCCTATAGATATGTGTCCTAAAAATGCTAGCTATTATGGTAATCGAGCAGCCACGTTGATGATGCTTGGAAGGTTCCGGGAAGCTCTTGGAGATGCACAACAGTCAGTGAGGTTGGATGACAGTTTTGTCCGGGTATGTAATGTGGCTCTAGGGGGAAGGTTGAGTAGCTACAGTTGAGGATTTCTCTTTCTTGACACTGTTGTCATTTGGGATTAGATAATTTTTTGTTGTGAGGACTACCTTGTGCATCTCTGGCTTTTAACTACTAAGTATCAATAGCACTCCCTCTCCTCAGTTGTTAATCTAGGCAATCTACCTCAGGGGATATTCTAACAGCCATGAATATCCCCTGAGGCACATTGCCTAGATTAACGACCATTGCTCTATTGTTTTTATCCTTTGTTGGTTTTGTGTGGGTGGTATTGCTGTTGGTTTCTTTTTGTCTAGCTAATCAAGCTCCTTTCCTTCCTTCTTTGTGTATCTTCTTATAGGGTCATCTACGAGAAGGCAAGTGCCACCTCTCCCTAGGGAATGCCATGGCAGCATGTCGTAGTTTCCAGAGAGCCCTAGAACTGGATCACAAAAATGCTCAGGCACAACAAGAGGTAAGAGTTGAATCTATTAGTATCAAACAACATGGTGTGATTGGAAGAAATAGTGACTTCTGCTCAGTCAGAACTGAGCAGCACAATTCACAATAGCTAAACTGGAACCAACCTAGATACCCTTCAATAGATGAATGGATAAAAAAAAATTCGGCATATATACACAATGGAATATTTCTCAGCAATAAAAGAGAATAAAATCATGGCATTTGCAGGTAGAGTTAGAGAATGATAAGTGAAGTTAGCCAATCCCAAAAAAACAAATGTCAAATGTTTTCTCTGGTATAAGGAGGCGGATTCATAGTGGGTTGGGGAGAAGGGAGCATAGGAGGAATAGACAAACTCTAGATAGGGCAGAGGGATGGGAGGGGAAGGGAGGGGGCATGGGTTTAGAAATGATGGTGGAATGTGATAGACATTATTATCCAAAGAACATATATGAAGACACGAATTGGTGTGAATATATTTTGTATACAACCAGAAATAGGAAAAGTTGTGCTGTATATGTGTAATAAGAATTGTAATGCATTTCACTGTCATATATAAATAAAAAATTTAAAAATAATTTAAAAAATAAAATAAAAGTCAGAACTGAGATCTAGTACTCCTTCTTCCATTAGCCACACTTGGATGATTTTAGTCTCTCTGATCCCCGGCTTTCTTATCTATAAAATGGGTTCTGAATATGATTTACATTTTTTAAAAGTCTAAAAATTGAAGGGTTTCTGAGATGCCTGAGAGAGAATAGATAGAAGCTTTAAGCAACTGATTTGAATGAGGTTAATTTTGTGTGTGTGTGTGTGGTGCTGGGGATTGAACCTGGGGCCTTGTGCATGCAATCACTCAAAAGTTTTATTTTTCTTTTGTTTTTGGTACTGGGAATCTAATCCAGGAGCACTTTACCACTGAGCTCCATTCCCAGCCCTTTTTATTTTTTTTAAATTATTTGTTTTTTAAAAAATATTTTTATTTTTTGGCATAGATGGACACAACACAATGCATTTTTTTAATTTTTATGTGGTGCTGAGGATCGAACCCCGGTCCCGCCCGTGCTAGGCGAGCACTCTACACTGAGCCACAATCCCAGCCCAACCCCTTTTTATTTTTTAAATTGAGACAGGCTTTTGCTAAATTGCTGAGATTCTGGAACCTGAGATTCTCCTGTTTTAGCCTCCTGAGTTGCTAGGATTACAGGCATGCATCACTGTCCCCAGCTGAAGTTAAAGAGTTTGAGTGAGCCAGTTATGGTGGTGCATGCCTGTCATCTCAGCTACTCGGGAAACTAAGGCAGGACGATTGCAAGTCTGACACCAGCCTGGGCAAATTAGCAAGACCCTGTGTGAAAATAAAAATTTAAAAGGGCTGTAACTGAATCATAGAACACTTGCCTAGCAAAAACAGGGTCCTGGGTTTAATCCTCAGTAACACACACACACACACACACACACACACACAAGAATTTGAGTAAATTCTGAACGGGGGAGGGATGTAGCTCAGTGATAGAACTCTGGCCTAGCACATTTGAGGCCTAGGACTGCCAAAAAAAGTAAGAACAACACTGCTTATTGTAGTGGTGCACACCTGTAATACCAGCAACTCAGGAGGCGGGAGGCAGGAGAAGAGCAAGTTTGAGGCCAGCCTCAGCAACTTAGTAAGAACCTGTCTCAAAATTAAAAGGGCTGGGGATGGAACTCAGTGTAAATCTGGGTTCAATCTCCAGCACCAGAAGTTAAAAATGAATAAAACATGTTTTAGTTCCATCTCCGTGTTTATTCAGTTTACCCTTGGATACATTTCATTGGTAATCTAAATTTTCTGCTTAGTTCCTGGCAATACATTGCCTTTATTTTGTATATGTCAAAGCATGACTCTTGTATTCTTGCCTTAAAGTTTAAATTGAGATTTTTGTTTTGTTAAATTGTTTTTCTTTATTATTTATTTTTGGGCTTTTTTTTCAGTCTTAGAATCAAAATTGGTGCTGGGCAGGCTCTGTATAGACACTGAGCTGTATCCCCAGCCTGAGGGTGAAATACAGGCTTCAGCTTTTCTGTTAAGGAATGTTTGGCCCTGTCTTCACCACCTTGATTTTTGAAAAATCTCAGATTCTGATTTTCCTCTTTTTTGTGGTGCTAGGGACTGATTTTTTTTTCCTTCAAAGAATAGATTCAT